CCCATGTATTTTATTAAAAAGACGAAACGAAATATACTCAATTTATTTGATGATGTTTCATTTATGAACAATAGGATATATATATATTTTAAATTACAGTAATGCTATCATCCAAATTCTCACATTCACCAGCAACTGTATCAGGCACACCTGTTCAACTGCTCCTTTACACAAATGTCTAATCAGCCAATCACATGGCAGCAACTTGATGCATTTAGTCACGTAGACGTGGTCAAGGCGACCTGCTGAAGTTTAATTTGAGCTTTAAAATGGGGAAGCAAGGTTATTTAAGTGACTTCAAACACGGCATGTTTGTTCTTATAATATATAAATTTTGTTCTTTTCGATATAGTCATACATGCTACGATCAACTTGGCAACCGGGCCTTCCCCTACCTACCCTGTGTGTCCATGCAGAACATGGTTGCTGGCCAAAGAAAAGTGAAAAGATTTAGGGGCAAAACTAAGAGAGAAAAATAAAAATAAAGCAAAAACATATGCAACAAAATGTGTCAAATTAGCCGACACGTTAGTTATCGGGCTGCTGCTGCTGTACCGTTAACAGTAGCATCAACAACAACCCTCACAGTCACAGGAGGCTGCTGTTGCTAGCAGAGAGTGAGGTGGGCTGCCTGGAGCAAAAATGCCATGGCAATCTTTTGTCCCAGTCCAGACCTGGTTATCATCTTACTTTCACCAGGAAAAACAAAGGTTGTTGATGAAAACTATGAAGTCAGTCATGTGGTGTCTGGATTCTAAGTGACATGCACATCCTCGATATCTTTAATACAGCCCTGACTAACACAGAGATGGAGACCATGTAACCTGGATGCTACATTTTCAGAGAGTCCCAAAAACACAGCCTCACACTTCCTGAAAGTCTAAATGATGATTTGACGTAATTTCTTTTCTCTTTTTAGGAAATAATACATATTATATCTTTAAGCTGTTATCAGTGGCTGTGTTTGTCCCCTTACCGGTGCCTTCGTACAGATTCTTGTAGAAAGGCTTGAGTGTTTTCTCGTAGCTGATAGCGGTCTGTGTGAAATTCCTTCGTAGAGTCGTCCATGTTTCCTCCAAACGACTGATCTAAATCAACAACAAACATCAACTTTAAAAGTTTCAAACTACAATTAAATCTCTCCTTTTTTTGTTTTTTTACACAGTAGAGAGATTTTAGTTGTCATATTCGTTACCTGGTTTTATGATTTTTTGTAATCATATCATTGTGGGGACCATAAATTGGAAGTTTACTAAACTTATGAGGACCAAAATCCAGTTCCCACAAGTTTGAAGGCATTTTTGAGACTCAAAATGTGGCTTTAGTGTCATTGTTACGATTGGGTTATGCTTAGGGTTTAGGGTTAGGCATCCATTACCTGAGGCAGGTCCAGAGCTTTCATCAGGGCTGTGAAAGCAAACAGGTCACCAACCGTGTCCTTCAGCTCTATAGCAACCAGAATGAGGCGATTTAAAGTGGAAGCTCGCTCCTCCATGCTACCCGTACATCCCAGAATATCCACAGCAACAGCTATTGCCATGGTGTGGTGCCTAGGAGACAGAGGGGAGAGATGAGTGGATTACAAACAGCCCCCAACAGCA